GTAAAACCGAATGCAGGTATGAAAAAAGATGAAAAATCTAACAATTATTTTGGCTGAATTAATTGTACATTTTTTTTTAATCTCGTGTAAAATACGTACAGTTCGTTTAGAGTTAGAGTACAGACAAGAAAGTGCAAATCTCAATGCAACAGGATACAGCAACATGGTGTACATAGTATTGAGTTAAAAACAGCGGTCTTACTAGTACGCTAGTTAATGCTGGTTGATAAATAGCTGATATTTTGTTGACACGAATATTTCGTTAGTATAAGTTGATTTATCCAAATGCCCAAATGGCACTATGGGCCTCCTGATGGGGTTAAAGTTGTCTGCGTGTTACACCACTGTGGAGGCTATGAAGTGTGTCATCTAAACATAAAAGAAGAGCACCTTACACTTTCTCAATGGCATTTGATTCCCTATGAACGTGACCTCACTGAGGGCCATTGCAAGTTAAAACCATGAGCTTTTTAGAGCGTAAATGCAGATCAACGTCAGGCCGACCGACCAGGCTAATTTATCAAAATAGCTCTTCGTTGCACTGTCCTCATCACAAACGTATTTAACCAAAGTTAGCCCATTTTTTACTTGAAAAAGAGAAATTCATACGGGAAAACGAAAACGAAGGATCGAACCTGTTATATTTATCGCTATGTGTTTCAAGAATGAGCAGTTGACATGAAACCTGTATGTAGGAAGTGCAACATGTTGCTTGTTAGGGCCTGAAGTATCAATTTTTAGTGCACATTCGGACGGCCAAGCCTCTGGATGCACTGCTGGTGTCCTAGTATTTGCAAGGTGGTATTCCAACAATGAACAAAGGATAAAGCGCTAAAAGGCGGCGTACGTTTTTTTTCTAAGTTCGAAAAAAATAAAAAAGAAACGTCAGTTTTTCTACATTCAGTTAGAACTCTCATCGTAAGTCCTCCTGTCAGGAAAATTGACGTTTGATCAAACATGCCTGAATTGGGCTTAAGGATCAATTAACTCCGACCCACATGCCCAGCAGTAGCTCAAAAAGAGAATGAGCAGTAAACGACACTTAGTCACTTTTTCATAGGACACCTTAAATGTGTGGTGATCTTCTCTGCAATGTGTCACGCAGCTTTGATCACATAATAGTACCAGACGTGTCAGTCAAGTATATGAGATAGCTACTTGCGAAATAGCTTGCTTTAAATATTTTCGTCTGATAGATGCAAATCCTAAATTTCACAAAGGAAAATAAAAGAAAATTGCAGAAACAATTTTCCGTTCTTGCTCACGTATAGCCAATTTTATTTTTCGTTATTAGCAGCATTATAAGCATTCTCTTTGATTATTTACATTTAGTTATATCGTGTTGTCGAAATATGCTTGTTTTTGAAAACGAATTTTACTTTTTACAAGTCTACACCAGCGGGTCTAAAACATTAAAATAGCTATTTTGAGCACTGGCGCGCACGTAGCTAGCGCCGCACTTTTTGTTGTTTCCTCGTTGTCGATACATACGTGTATGAGGTGACGTCATCATTCAATTACGATTCGACTTGTGTTCGGGTCTCTGCGACAATATAATACTGTAGGTCATTACAGGTTTTTGTTATAGTTTAATTTGGTATAGTCAGCTTGATATATACATATTTTCATAAATGCAGGTGCGATCTAGTATTTCTTGTTGTTCTAAAATTGATACACTCTAGGATGCTTTAGAGCGAACGTTCCCTAGCTCTTTGATAAATTGATTTTCTAATCTGCGATATTGTAGGATCTAGCAATATCTAACTCGACGTACGCGCCTTCGAAGTTTTAGCCCTTGAGTGCTGTACGATAGTATGGTAATCCTGTTTGACTTGCAACCACTAGAAAAAGCCCTCACTCATTTTAATTTTTATGAACTGATCTTATAAACACAGTTCGGCGTTTGATTTCAGATTTCTCATCAATCAAAGTCATTTCTTCTAGGTTTGTCAGCAATTAATTTCCTCGGAATATTGTTGCATTACGGGTAAAACGTTTACGCGGCCCAACCGTTATGGATCAAAGACGAAGAAAAAACCACTATCATATTGCACGCGTCGCGTATGCTCAAACATGGAAATACTGGGCGCTGGTAACGGGCTCAGCATTCGTTGGCGTCGCAGGGGCAGGATGTTTCGTTGTATTTTGTCTCGCGTATTCTAATTACGCTGCTGGGATGTGGGCGCTTTCGGCGGGTAAGTACAATCGGACTCGATATGGAACGTAGTGTAGTACATGGAATAACTCTTGGGTTAACCTCCGACACTTCACATTTGCCAAACGAGCAGACTCTAACAAAAACGAAAGACATGCAATATCATAGCTGCCACTTGGAACCAGCATTGCACGCTCAGTTTGGCCCAGACGACAGTTATTGATTATACCCATCCGAGTAAGCGACCGAACGTCGAATTTACGAATTTAGGGGCTTAGTGCTAATACATATTTTTCGGAGTGATTCTTCTTTGGTCAGAAACCTGAGCAAAAACGCTGGAAACGTAAAAAAATATTTATTATGTTCTGTTGAAATTCAAAACAAATAGACGGAAACAGAGCCGTGGGTAGCTAGGAGAAATCAACTTTTTTTCAAGGATTCGCTCTAATTTATTTATCTATAAGCCTATAACATAGCTGCATAAGAAAGCCTACTTTTCTATGTATATTCATCTAGAACCTAGAGTACTTCTTAATTGTGAGATGACATTAATTACGTTCGTAGTTTAGCAGTGAAACAGAACTGACCCAGGCCGCGCTTGTATAATATACCATTCTTGAAACCGTAAGCGTTTACCTGTATGGCTCCGAGCTACAAAATGTCTTCATTCGTATTCGCAAAAGAAATTTCGATTTACGCCTTCTGTACTTTTCTAGCAAAATCAGCCGCACAATTGTTTATTTGCCCCTCTGAATGGCTGAAACCCCACTGCGTCAATGCACTTGCAATTGGAAGAATATAGGTCTTCCAGTTTACCTAAAGTCATAATAAACCCTATCTGGCCTTAACCGAAAATGCTCTTTAAAAATCCTGAAATTTACTGCGGTCTCAATCTTCTAATGGATTCAGTTTTATTTTAGCTAAGCTGAACAAATGTGTTCAACGTATTCAGGTTCCTCCTGACACCCTTTCACTGGTTACTTTGGTTCGATCGGTACAATTCTGCGAAGATCCAAAAAAACAAATAACCAAAGTTATTATATTTTGAAAATATAATGACGAAAGCAGTCCGCATTTGGTGGTAAGCTGCCATAACATGTTCGCAAGGGTAATTGCTTGTCGTTTATTTTTTTTGCTTGCACCCTTTTACTTGTATAGGTCCGTTTTCGCTTGGAGATAGCAGACCGTCGAAGGAATCACTGTTTGTACAGTTACAATAGAGGCCCGCGTGCGACGTTGTTGAGCAGAAATCCGTAGTGTTCGTAGACATCAAGCTTTTATCTACGGAAGAGAGACTTGGGTGGGGAATGAGGGCGAGGGATAGGTCAGATATTAACACTTTTCGAGTATCAGTGGCTGGAATAGAACACTGTAAGATAGATACAACGATGGCCAATATTCGTACGGTAATACGTTTTACAAATCCATTAATTTTATTGTCTTATTTTCTGTAAATTTACTTTTGAGCTAAGTTGAGGCAATAATTGGTTAATGATTACATAGTTCTGTCTGTGTGTTCACTTGCGGAACACCCGATAAAACGGCCCTATATTGGTGTTTTGGTGATGGTCAGTATAGTGTTGGTTAGCTTATGATAAATTAAAACAGCGCTTCGTTACAAGTATGCTAACGGCGTTTCGCAAGACATTAGTCCTCTGATAGATAAAGAGGTCCTCAAAGATATCTATGACAAACCCTGCCCAGAGCATACGTAGATGGTTCTGGCCATCGGAGAGAGCGGAGTTGGGTGTGATCCGTCTTGTTCTTCTACGTTGTATTTTTGAGGTGAACTCGTAAGGACGAGGTGAGGCAAGGCATGCAATGAAAAAAAATAAGACAAGACATTATGTGAAACATTTTTGTTGGTGGAAATCGTAGAGAATATTATTCATCGCGTATTTGTATGCTGGCTTGGTCCTTAGATAACGTCGAATTATGGCAAGCGATCACCGATACCTGGAACATGTTAAAGCTATAACAAGGGCTATTACTTCAGAATCCTCAATTCATAGATCCTAATAAAATCAAGTAAATTCTTCTTTGCACCCGCACGAGTCAGCCTGTTGAATTATTATATATGACGGGCCAAAAGCGTGCTGGCAATGGAATAGATTGAAGTATACAGTTATGAAAACGTTACATATATATATATATATATATATACACTTATACCACAGTCTGTATCCATACAACTAACAGGTTTCCGTAGTCTCGGCGATTAGGGAAAACATATGTATGTTGATTTGCATAAACTGTGTCTTGCTTTGCGTACGGAGGATTGTAAGCCAAAATCGAACTAAAATTCTGTAAAAAGGTTTGTTTGGAAGCCTATATAGTAGACACTGACACCGACCAACCATGTACCACTCTTCTCCTTCCGAATAAACAAGCACGTCGTCCGCGTAACTCTATTTTTTTATCTCTTCTTACATTTTTTTACAGCGATTTTTAGTTTTGCCGCACTGCATCTACACATGCTGAACCTATTCGATCGTCTAAGCTCTTGGCACGATGCGCAGTCCTTTACGCAGATCAAGTATCTCGCTTTGGGGGTCTGTGGCCTTTCGACGATAGGCGGAGCTGTATTTGGGGCACTAGCTCTTCGAATGAAAGAAGGTAAAAAAAAATCAATCGTCTTCACAAATTTTATCTCCGTCACGTGACCATGACTTATTCAACCCAATTAACGCGTTTTGTTTCCTCTAGAAAATGTTTATTAAGTATTTTTTTTACGAAGTACCGAAATGATCTTGACCTCAGAAAATCATCTATCCGAACTCTTTTTTTGTTCCTATCTTGCGGTTCGTGTACGTTCATCTAATCCGTTCTGACAGAAGTTGACTTTGACGAGAACAACTTCTTCATATCTTCGATTGCTGCCGGCCTGAGCCTTCTGTCGGGTCTGATGTTACTGGTTACGGCGATCTTTTACCGAAAGCACATTCGAGAAGCGAGCGATCAGCAATTCCTAACCGATGATCAACAATCACCAGGTCCCCCCTATGCCTAAGTCATCATCACCATTGCTAGAAGTATGAAGCACTTGAATAGGAAGGCTTAATTACAACTGACTATTATTGTTGCGTAAGAGATCGTCATTTTTTATTGTTGAAAATATAGAATAGATGGACAGTGACATTGTTCTTTTTCATAGAAAAAGCCGTGTTTTTACAGTCGTATATATATATACTAGCGGCAGTAGTCAACAATATGATGCTGTGGCATAGTGTGCTATAAGAAATGTCCGAAACGTGGAGATAATTTAAATAATTTAAGACAATATTTTATAACTACATTTCATGTACACAAAATGACTAAAATAATCTACGGTACAAGCATGTACAGCCTGTAAGCTGCTCTTACTACATGTTGCCTGCCTATTGCATTGTCGATATATTGAAGATGGAAAACTCTGCCTTTTGTAACGTCTTTCGTAGTACTCATAAATGATTACAACTGTATCATATAGGTCATGTACTACATTAAAATACGACAGTGCCCTATTTTGTAAATGTTACAGTTTAATAGCGGCTTCCGGTGGCTATAAGATTGCCATATTAGTATTAAAGTATGGATGAGATCTACATTTCTCACAGTTACGCTATAGACCTCCAAGTGAGATAGAAGTTGTAAGGTGAGTTAGAACGGGTTGATTTTCCTGGCTCTGTCGAACCCATGCAAGGCCCATCTGCCATAAAAAGTGATAGTCAAGTAAGTAATAATGCGAGTTACCTAATGATTCTACTAAATACTTAGCATTTAAGAACGCTTGCCGCTTTTTTATTCTTTCTTATTTTTTGCCATAAAGGTACTTGGGGCCGAATTCGCCGTGTCGCCTAAATGAGCGAGTGCATATAACAGCTAATTATAAGCACATCAGTTTTTTTTTTAGCATAAAATGAACATGTATTATCTTGAACATCTATTATCGTAAAAAATTACACAACGTCTTCTGTGTACGCTCTATGTTCATCTCTGGATAAATCGAATGTAAGGTTTGGCAAAAATAAAAGTTTTGTCGGTTTTTAACAACTAACGGGTATTATTAGTAGTATTAGTAAATACGTAGTAAATAAATAGAAGTAACCATTTTTCGAAAATGATTTTACATGCACACACACGCATATATATATATACATTTATGTACTCTTAACGGTTGTCATTTAACCATTTCAAAGTCCTTTTGGCATTGTAAAGATTTGGTATTCATTCACGCGATATATAGGGCTCAATACTATTTGATGTTGGTTTTTCTAGAAGGGAACCGTCTTCTGATGGACACGATTCGAAGATATGAACAATCCAAAATACATACTTCGACTTGTTTTTTCCTAGACAAGCATCTTAGCGATCCACCAATGATGGAGCAGAAAGCCGTGACTTTCATACTGCGTTAACTTCATTTGTCTGCTTACACATCTTGTATTCTGCTGAGGGATCGCCATGTTGCTGTAAATACGAAAGGCCCAAAAAGTTTCCCAAAAACTTATTTTTACACTTGGAATTCGTAGCAGCGTTCGGTAGTTCATTCTTTTTCGCTCGTGTAGACGTACATCGGATGATTCATTTCCTTCGAAGTCTTCGAATCTTTTGTCGGCAAAATATGCTTAATTGACCTAGATATGTTGATGTTGCAGTATTCTAAGTTTTATATGCTGTCATACTAGCTAGATTATACGTGGCTTCCTACGACATGTCCACATAGGTATCAAAAATTCTCTGATCTCTTATCGTTCTTGTAATGTTCATGATAAGTCAAGTGAATTTGTCTCTGGCTTAAAAAAATACCAAGCAAAAAATTTCGCGAAACGTCTGCCTAAATTTAGCCAGTTAGGACATGAGCATTGAATACCAGTGTGTCACATATGAACATTCTAAACAATATCTCCAGCGGTGGACCTCACCACAAAGTCGGAAATTATTGCGATTTGCTTTTCAAAAATTCGCGGTTTCTACAGCTCCTTTTTCGCCTATAGATCGGTGAAAAATGATAGCATAGGTTGTTATTTCTCTTATTTCGTGAATATACGCATACGTTGATATCCAATGTCCATGTTGAACGTTGGTGATTAATACACCACAGGTAGAGCGCGGCTTTGTGCTCCTAATAGACTTCGTTGACAATAAGATATTCGCTTTTAAAGTCTTTGAATAGTAAAAAGTCCTAAAAGTTCAGAAGAGACAATGGCAGAACTTTTGACAAGATAAATTACTCGGGGAGCTCTAAATATTATTATCTACCATGGGCGTCGTGAAAAGCATCTTTCTTTCCGCTAACCCTTGGTCTGAAGCTCCCTGCTACCTCTAACTGTGCGTCCTCCCGGCTCTACAGGTATACTTTACATTGTGAAGATACCCTTGTTTTTTTTGTTGTCAAAAAGAACTATGTAAAAACAATTCGGCACGAAATACAAAATTTGGAAATCTAACGTTTTTGCCAATAATACCAGTCTCGCTACCGCGCCAGTCGTCACTACACATTTTAAGCGATCGGAACATACCCAATTCGACGGACCGATATGATAATCCGCTTTTTTCGGTTGCGACAAAAAATGACGCCGGAAAGCCTTAGAAATCTGTGTAGCTACCTCATGAAACTAGGTATTAGAGCTTTAAGCTTTTCGAAAAAGCGAGGCGTTATTATACGCGACAGCAAATGTCAGAAATCGCAAGGGCACGGTATAGCCTTAATTCACATTTATGATCTAGTTAAAGTTTTTATCGTTTTTGTCTAAAACTAACAAAGTTTTAGACAAAAAAAAAGAAGTGTGACAATATTATAAGATATAATATTATCTTACGCCGAACGATCATAAAAAACTTAATTAGACACGTCTAACAAAACTGATCTTGCTTAAACTCTGAATAATGCACTATAAATATTGTGTACAAGCAAATGCTGCCAATACTAAATAACAGCTTATTAGGAGTGTGCATAAGAAATTATGCTGCAATCGTGAAGCGGCGAAATTATTATGATCACTGTACATTTGCTGTTCCCAATCGTCCCGTCCCCCCTCTATATGTAATAACGGAAGGAATTGTTAAAGCAATGCATCTTTATTATTGGTGAAACATCAATACCGGTCCAGCGATGCTTATGTCACTAAAATACGGGTTTAACGAAGCTTAATGTGATTTGTAGCTGGTTAGCAAATTTTAAAAAACTCACAAACATCCTTTAAAAGTGGATTAGACGGGCGTTGGTGAGAAAGTAGAAGACTGCACTGTATCAGGTGGTTTGCAGAAAACGGCAACGAAGCGGCATCTTCGCTTTCCTTATAGGATTACGTGTCCTAAGTCAGGAAGATCGGGCTACACATCTCGTTCAGTTAGCCTTCAGGTATGTGCATTGTCCAACAAAATGACTATGATGTCCTTAACAAGCCTTAAAATCTACCGCAACCTAAGAGCACCAAAGGTTTGCGCCGGCAAATATATTTACACCATCGTCAGAAGTTTCCCGCCTCCCAAAAGCATCGGCATGATTATACATTGGTTTGGTTGTGAACTTAATGCTGAAGTACGTAATAGATTGAATAGGCAATTGTGCCGATGTCTTCAGGTACGTAAGGCATGTCCAAGTGCAACTGTGACAAACCAGAAGTTTTTATTGGGATTAAATTAAAACCCTACTTTCGATGAATCGAGGCTCTCTAATTTAGTTGTTAAAAATAACCTTATAGTTAACAGTGAACTCGAATAAATATTCGAGGAAGCAGAATTATTATAATTTAATTTTAATGGTTATATAGCATAATTTAATACAATTTACGTGTAGCTAATTTTTGGAACAATTTTTTTAGAGCAATGTCTAATTAAAATAAAATAAAGGGAAAGTATCTATATTTTACGTTACGAGGTCTGTCGCTTTATTGGCACCGCGACATAGCAGAGCGAACGAAATAGCAGTAATTGCGTGAACGACGCTCTATGTATAGATTTTTTTTTACTATAATATAAATGCTTTTGAATTAAAACCCATATTATGAATGAAAGTAACTACAGTCCGTTTTGCTGGTATAAATTTTTCCAGAGTACTATAGCAGCCTATCGAGAGACGCAATCGATTACCTTAAGTAGGCAAGTATCGTGTCGTAAATGACGCGTGAAAATATCGTTGCGACTCAAACCCAAATCAAAACCTGTTTAGCCAGAAGGCGCTTATAAGGATCTATTAGGTTGGAAAAAAATATCAGTGTAAACTGTGTATATTTAAAATATTATTAGGATTATTATTCGATATCGTCGTTGCCTTTCAAGTTACTTTTATACTTACGTGGAAAACTATACGCGTTGATTCTCTCTGTATTTGATTAAGCCCGGTTGTCCCGTTTCAAGAGGTGAATCAGATGTCCACAAAGATCCATTTCAGTGCTGTAACAGCAATAAGACTTGTCAATATGCTAAAAAATTAGGTTTTTCCCTGTCTTAGTGATTACACTGTGTAAAATTGCAGTGGCTTCGGATTTATCTAAGCATTGTAGAAAATGTTATTGTACGGTTTCGACCGCCATGTTTACATCTGGTTGATAGGCCCCTCCCACTAACTTAGTCCATTGTGCCCGAAATAAAACGGACTGTCTTTCTATAGTTTCAAGGTTACAAATCAGGTTACAGGTCGTATGAGTCGACGTTGATTGCGTTTGAAAGCGGATTGTTCACAGCGGTAGATTCGCTGAAATCCTTTGCGCAAACGTAATCTGATGCTTGCGTAAAACGTCGTTTTTGTAAAACTTACGATAGAGCGCCTCGAATATGAATGAAGTTTCCACAAAAAAATGTAACAAACTCTACAATTTTGATATACAGTCAAGGCACACATGCTCCCCAGACCATTTTCATTTATTTAGCGACTACAATTTTGTCTGTGAATGTTTGCGACAAATTTATGTCGAGGTATGATCTTCCGCCTTGTTTGGCCCATCGCACTACCGAATCGCGCGAACCGACTTCACACGCCTCATATAACATAATTATTTCGAGTTTTACGTCTGATTCGGTCGCGAGGCATCCTTTGTGACAGATAACTTTTGGCATGAAAAGTAATCGGATGAATCACGCCTGATTTCATAAGAACAGACGCCATCGCGCCGTTACGGAAGCAAGCGTGTACGATTGATACGTCGCTAGTTTGAATAAGGTCAACGCCGTATAACGTAGATTTTAAAGGCCATCTGAAAGCCTTAGCATTTGTTAGTTTCCATAGGCGTGTCACGAATATGCAAACTAATCGTATTACAAACAAGGCTTAGCCGTACTTCAACGAGTGCTCTTCATACACTTATTATTCTGTTTACTTTGTATCCTCTTTATACTCTGTACTTTGTATTACTCTGTACGTATGTGCAATATTAAATCACGAACGAAATCGATCCAATGTCACTGTACCTTATCTGATTGCGTTTCAAGTGCCGAGGAACTGATACAAAAACACCGTACCATGTAGTATTTCATGATACTATATGAAATATGTGGGCTCAGTAAACCACTGGCCGGCGTTCGTCCCGTCACTCGAAGAAAAACTCAACCCATTTAAAATGCTCCGAGTTTTACGTCCGATATCGTCGCTAAGCATCCCATCAGACGGCTGGCTCTGTGTTCATACTTGGATCGAACCCAGACCGTCACGGCTCCTTCAAGGCTAACGAGCGAAGCGGCACCCAATACGCCGCTGTCAGTATTTTCCATCTTGCTAACGCTAACTGTGCGAGTAGCAGAAAACAATAGTGTATTAATACAACGCGCCATTTTCGTCCGCCTCATATAACCTTTAGCAGGCCCAGTACATTGACCCTTGATTAAATAGTCAAGCAAGCACAACTCCTACCATTCACGAGTCAAATCAACCACTTGGGACGAATCGAACGATTAATAAAAATTGTTTTAGGTCTTACGTTCCGTTAGATATTACATCCGACAGTCGACACTTCGATGACCACTACGTTTACTCTCGATATTTCCCATGTATTTTACATGGCGCGTCAGAGCGTGTGTGTAGGTAGCGAACTACCACGGGATGTCCCCTTCTCAAGCATAAGGTTTGTGCGAAGGCTTGCATTGCGGGGCCTTAGGTCCGACATGAAGTACTATGTGCTATGTTTCTTTCCATTGGCTGTTGGCTACCCACTAGGTATATTTGGGTTTTCAGCTGACAGACATATGAAACTTGGTAATAATATGCTATAGTAAGCATATGTCAGCAGTCATGGTTACACTGGAAATGCACTCAAAGAGATACGCATTAGCCACTTCTACTGAATTTAGTGGCACGAGAAACGCTGTACGCTTCAATGCGGGCCAAAGTAGACATCTTTGTCTAATTTTGGAGGTCATCCATCTGAAGCGATCCCTAACATAGGCAGTATCGTATGCATAGCTCGAAACACCTTTAGGTTCTTATTTCTGCTGGCTGGCCCTGAAATGTGCGTAGATTAAGTCTCGATTTAAAACTAATAAATAAAAAAAAGAAAATATAATGTAAGATAAGAAGATCTCGAGTTAAATTTATTACCCTTCCCTCTATCGCACCAATCGACTAATGAAATAATGTTTACTACGCGCATACTCGATGCTCTATATATAGGCCTAAAGCATTGATCACTTAGCAGACGCACCTCCCAGAGCATTAGGTACCTAGCATGGATGTCACCGTTGGACCTTAGCCACTGAAACAGTGTCTGTGTACGATTTTACTTGCGTACAGAATAATCGAAAAATCGGATCAACTTATGCAGAATCCATGTACAAAATCGCATATCGAGCACACAGAAAGGTGGACAAACTTCCGCATTTATCGGCACTAGGAAAGCATTGATTTACATACTATCTGTCCGCGTTTTTGGCTTAATAGATGGCCTGCATATCTCACACTAGAATATACAACACACCTACGAAACCCTTCATGTTCCTAAAGAATAGCATTCAACCTGAAACTGCTAGGTACCCAATTTTCGCACAATAATGGCGGTGAACATAAACACTGAACGTTATTTAACGCCGCGCTATTGTGTGCCTTGATTTAGAGTAAACGAAATCAGGCCTAAGGCCTAACTTGTTGGATATGTCGATTTTCCATCGCAGACATTTTTGTGGTCCAAACGCTTTTTCTTTTGCTGCAGCAGCTCTCTTTGAGCTTGTTTGTTAGCCTACTGCACAATCGAGTCTTTCCGTTGCTCTATTGAGAAGTGTATCCTATTAGTTTAACTGTAAGTTAAAATGTTTCAAATGATATGAAAGCTTAGAAAAGCACTTTGATGAACTTGGAACTCACAGACGATGCAGTTCGTGCCGATCGACAAGTACGGCTTGATTTTTCAGACAAAATGAACGGAGCGAGAGACTGTTCCCAGTAAGGAAGTACTATTTCGTTATTTTAACAAAATTAGTCACTTGCTTGTTTTCTATTTTCACTCCATAAGGCAACAGTTAGTTAGCTCGATTTTATATGAGAATATAATAGCCAGCACAAATTATCTACTTATAAGCAAAATGTTATTTTTTTCCAATAACTAGATAAGTGCTTCGTGTTAAGCATTGATTCATATAGCCGGTTTCTGCCAACACAAAACGAAGGTTGTCTATGCTCTGTTTCGAATCAATTGGGAGTCAATCAGATAGACTTAAATAAATACAATCAATAAACTTTGCAGGCCGATTGCACGACTTCAACACGACGTATTTTGAAGTAGACTTTGGTCGGTGAAAGCGTAATAATTCAGCTTAACTCTGCCACCCTACATGTCGATAATGTCGCCAGAAAACGTTATCAAATTGCCGACAAACTATAAGATTTGTTCGATGAGATGCCATGTCGTGTTTCGACGATTGCGGACGGAACAGCTTGGTGAAATCGAGATTCCAGACTAATATCTCGTACTATGTACAGCCGGCGCGTTCTATTTCACGATCCGGCGCAGACCAATTAAGTGGCGGTGTTTAAGTAAAATTAATTAGCTTGAGTGTTTTATGGTGATTTTTCGTATTTACGTGCATAAAGTGTCGACTTATACAGAAACCACTGAAGAGCGGGAACACAAATTGCTTTGTTGAAATGATTGTACACACTGTATGCGAAACTAGCGAAATGTTGCTAAACTAAAACGAAATGCCGATGGTGTCGGTATTAGAAATGGAAAAGGTGTGCTACGAAACGGGAAAGCCATGCGATTATTTGCGAACTCCAAAAGGACAGCTTTGTCCCGTGCGATCTCCTCCACGAGAGATGAGAAGACCGTAGGCTTGCTGCATCAAAAATTATGTTTCGTCGCCTGCTTGAGGAGGCTGGATTTAAGGTTAAAGACCTGGCAAGAACTCGGAAGGCCTTGACTGGCGGATGAAGCGCGATAGCTCAGCGGCGCAAAGGGCAGGGGTTGTTGAGCCCCTGTTAAACGTGTCCCACGTAGGGGATGCAATAGGGGAATCCCCATTAGGGACAATAAGTGTTAAGGGACATGGTATGTGTCAAAACCCCCGGCACGGATCAAGACAATTGCTAGGTCCGTGGCGATGCTGAGTAGCGTTCTCAAAGGCATTCAGGGCAACGGTAGCAAGCCTTTGTAACAATTACTGGCGGAAAGAAGTGGACGTCTTGAAGTAGTGTCGAAGCAGTTACAAAACTTCATTCCGCAATTTAGGGATCGAGGCCTATGCGTTTCCGGTGCAGTGGAATGTCCCACACTAGCTAATTTTCGAGCGCACCTTAGCGTTTTTGCAGTCTACCTCGTTAAAAATGTAAGAGACCTAAGACCTGCCAAGAAACGTCGGTTGAACGCTTAAATGAAACGAACCTGTTTTGATTTGGCAGATCAAGTCGAAAATCATGCTACTGGGAATCGGAGAAGAGTCCGCTTTTCGAACTAACCTCATTTTGAAATTCCGAGTAAACATGAGCATCATATCCTCAGGCATGTTGGCAGACCGTTTTTCGAAATTTACCCCCAAAAATCAAACACGAAGCGGTCTATAATTTCTGGCAAAGATACTAAAATGATACATTTCACGCAAAGAAAGCTAGAGCCAGTGGTTTTTTAACAACAGAATAACTAGTTGATTCATTTTACTTGGGTCTGTCTGACTCTATGTAATTCTGCCAACTCTCATGTGCACACTATCTGTCAACTCCTGACTTACTGCCCTGGCCCGACCTTAATTGTACATACTGTATGTTAGGTTTAAGTAATCGAACAAATTCAGATTGAACTGTTGTTTCGTTCTGCATCAGTTGGGGTTCGTTGTGCTGGCAGCGCCCTCTATTGATCGGCGTTCGAATTGCATCCCTCTCGCGGCGACTGTCTCTTTATAGGCTGTGTTGAACAAACCAGCAGCCAGAAGTAGCCAATACATAGCACGCAACGGCTACCGTTTCAGGCCGCAAGCCACCGTTATCTTGAAAAGCCTTTATGAGCGGAGAGGAGAATGATCATCGTGGCGGGTTGTGGAAGTTGGCTTTATTTAGAGAACTGGTTCAGCGGCTGTTAGAATCGCCGCTCCATGCAACGATTGAAGGCGCTGTCCGATAAGCCGACTGTAGTGAATGGGCAATTCGTTTTGTTGCCAAGTCGTCCGTGTGACCGTTGTTTGCTACCTGGTTAGATGTGCTATGATTCATGTAAAGTCATGTCGTCACTACAGTGGAAGTAGCAGCTGATATATCGTTTACTTTAATCCAGTTTATTCCACTCCACTCCGCCAGAGGTTGAGTGAACTGAAGGGTGACAGTGCCGTGAAGTTACACATGTGTGTGTCGCTCAAAAGTGATAAAGCTTATAACGTTACTTGTACGAAAATTGGAATTACATTAATTTTGTTCGTACGTGTGCTTTTTTGGAAGGCTTAGTTAACACCTACCCTGCTTACTTATCATGGATAACATTTTTTCGTGAGTAAGTTAGTGAAACAGAAGCGACGACGGGCGACCAAGTGAACTGCTAGTTGTCGTTCGTTGTGTCCTATGGAAGTAGCGCTGGTCAGAGATGAATTTAGCATTAATTAATTGCAATAGTCGTACGTGTTTGTGTTTCTATTACGCTAAGTTAAGGTAATTACTCCGCATATACGGAGCGTGAAAAGTACGACCGGGTATACAGTTTCGAGCTGTCATTTCGACAAGATTCATCCATCAGTAGTACTAGTAGTAGTATCGTTACTGCTTCTATGCCTGGATATATATGTGTGCATGTGTGTGTGTGTTAGCATAAGAATTGAACATTTCACCGTGATTTGTCTTGCAAAAGTTACCTACGATTAATAACGATACCTATCGCCGGCAACGGCCCAGATTCTTGTAGTCAGATTGGGCGTTGAAATAAGTTTAACTTCACGATGACGCTGGAGGAGCCAACGGAAGACGCGAAGTGCATGGCGGCTGAAAACACCGACGGAAACGCGAATAAGACCAACGGTCGCCTTCGATTTGGCCTTCGCGATAAGCTTCGGATCGTGTCTTCGGAGCAGCGTCAAAGCTTCTTCACGGCCCTATTGCTGGTTTTGCTACTGGTCTTCTTCGTTATCATAATCGCTCTCGCCGTTAAGGTAAATACGACCTCGTCAGACCTACATGACCGTTGCTATTCGCCAGAATGCTTAGAGAACGCTGCGTACATAATGAAAAACATGGACTCGCTAGTGGACCCGTGCGACGACTTTCAGAAGTTCGCCTGTGGGAGCTATTTGAGAAAGCACCCGCTCAACCGAACCGTCTCTAGGGCAGATCTCCTAGACGAGGTTCGTGCTAAGATCCGAGCCCGTACACGTCAACTGATTGACGAAATTAGCCCAGAGCAAGCGAAATCAGGTCATACGATCCGCAGTCATGTAAGCAAATTTTTCACTTCGTGCATCGATGAGCGCGCTCAAAGCACGGCGCCACATACTACTTTGATTAAATACATACGCGATATGGGGGGCTGGGAGCCGATTGCAGCGACATCGTTCGAACGCAACCAGTGGAAGTTTGACAAAAGTCTCGTCGAAGTTATGCGAGATTACGGTGTCTTTCCGTTCTTCAAATTAGACGTACAAGTCCACGGACGAGGTGGACGCACGCCCATGATCAGGGTAAGTAGAGACATAGAGTTTAAATCTCGTGATCAGCTTATTTCGAACACATAACGTATATATTTGTTTGTACTAATTATCAAAATGTATCTGGATCTGCTGGGGAGCAAGGAAAAATCGGACAATGTGTGTTCTCACACTTGAGCCCGTCAGTAATCCAGCACCTTTTTCTGCCCAATTTTAAACGAATGAAGAAGCTGAAAAAATGCGATCTGGTTTTTACGGTTCTACGAGATACTTTAGTTCGTAACGTCTTATCGATCGAGACAAAATGCCGAGCAAACATTACGCAAAAATGCCATGAAGACGATTGTTGTCAACACGATCCCAATCACGGTGATGAAATGTGGACCAATTGCATACATCTACTTGTTCGAATCGGACATCTGCCCATCAAGAGTCCAATGAGGATGTGCTTTGTATTACAGGCACGTGGGAAGACAGGTAGCGAACGCATCTGTAGATTTCGTATAATCAAACATCGTTTCAGCCAAACAATTCCTCTATTAGTGATATGGACATTGTAACGATGCTGGCCATACAATATCTAATATTCGGTACTCTTTGATAAGCAGTATCATTTGTTTATCCTTGTTTAATTATTTGCATGCCTGATTCAACCCTTTCAGTCATAGTTCCTATAGAAACGTGTTATGTGTTATGGATACCTAAGTTCTATGGTAAAGGTAGTTAAAATTCAGAATAAGATTGAGGCGCTGGCTTCCAGCGTAAAACAAGGTGTATCTGCGACCGATTTCAAACCTAAACCTGTCCCTGGCTTTAGTAGGAAAACGCGTCAGCACGTGATACCGTCACGGGGGCTTGATTCTAAAGCTGGATTTCGTAACATACTCCTAACCACAGTGGATCAACGAAACGCGGGCAACCTTCTATGTGGCCGGGCGGGTCCGAGAAAAATGAAATCAACTGCAACATCGCGCTCTGGTAGTCTGACTCTTCCAGTGATCCCAAAACCTTTGAGGGTGGACCAGCCCGATAATTGAGTTTTAAAATTATGAAGACGGTTGCCAACACCATCTCTTGTGCAGGCAAAGTAATAACGGGTAGTTTGAAAAAAGTCTCCGCTAGGTGAAATGTAACGGCGATTCCAAAGTCTACGAAATCTATGTACAACAGATATGACGACCGACTACACGCAGCAATTGGTCACGCTCATAATTAATTTAAAATCCTTGCACACACATATATATATATATATATATATACACAATTGTTTTGTAAAGAAACGTCACTCCAGAACATTAAGATCTATATATTAATCCCCTACAGTCAGACAAATCCGATCTACATAAGTACTCTAATGCGCTAGATTTCCCGCCTCGTATGGAGTAGCACTTAACGCGAAATGAACAGCAGAAAATCCTTGAGAATAACATCCGTCATAGTTCACATGGGACAGAAGAAACGTGGCCTTGTCTTACCTTCCTGCGTTTCCAGTGAGATTCTTTTGTGTCGCTATGAAAGTTTTACAGATCGCAAAACCCAAATTCGGTTATTTTTATCCAAGTTCGCCGAGTTCGGCGCATCTTCCGCGTGCGTTAAGGCCGCTTTCTGATAGTTTTTGTTTTTATTGGTAACGGGATCAGGACGGAACCGGGTGGAAGTATCATCGGAGAGATACGTGAACGCCCAGATTTGTCCGTTCTTCATTCGTATTGGACATTTTTTTTTCGCTCGTTTTGAGATATTAAAGAAAGAAAGCAACTTATTCCTATTTCGTTATTTTTTTTGCCGAATACCGACTTGGGCACTGACGGCCGGTCATCATTTGTGTAAACTGAATCACAGCCCCCGTTCTTCATTCAGTGCCTTATGCGCCATGTAATGGAAGATATTAGACACTACAGGCAAGACGAATGTGTACAAGAAATCGAATACATATTTTGTGAGGCTTTTGTGCCATGAAGAAACAGTACTGGGCTTCTGTCCCTATGTTACACAAAATTTTCTGGCCACTTGAATGTGAAGGATAATTAACTTGGGCGGCAAACAAGGGCCACCGTATTCTCATTTTCGTCAAACATGCGGTCTTAATTTACAAAATAGCGAAGTGATTTTTTGAGCCAATGCGTCTAATAAACGCATTTCAAATTGGCCTCACTCGATAGTGCGCATTGACAAGTCACGAGATCTATTGGCTTCTTTTGTATGTATGTATGTATGTATGCCATGTCTTGTATGTAAGTTGAATGTGTTCCTTTAAATTAGGTTTTTTGTTCGTCGATCATTATGCCCATTTCGCCTGAGACAATCAAAGGTCGATCTCTGCCTAGCAGAACTCCATGGTGAAGGGAAAATTCTCACATTAGCTGGCGATCTGTCTTGATCAGCCGCAACGGAACAACATAAGAGTCAAGCCAGTAATTTGGCTCGACGTTGGCTCCTTTCCTGAGAGATCTATTGCGTATCGCTTCGTTTCTAGCCTAGAATAGGGCACGTGCATGTTTGTGCGCTACTGCTTATGTAAACAGGTATCTTTAGTACAGGTTGTGCGGTATTCTGAAATAAACTTTCCTAGTAACAGTGTAAAATTTTCTACGTTTCCACGAATTCTACTCCTGCGCACAATTTCATATTGAATCATAATGTGTGTAAGTCATTCGGTGAGACAACGTTAAAGGGATCTGATTCAGTCTGATACGCAGCAAGGAAATATGCCGGAATTTCTTCGAAAACTTGCCTCGAATGAATCAAGTAGTGAGTAACGCATAGGATATGCGACATGCCTAGTTCATCTTGACCTGCCACGGACGGCCGACGCCAGCTTCTGTGGTGGTGCAAAAGATTCTTTCGGAGGAGGTAATTGTACTTGCTTAAATGGGGGATCTATGCAAATGCTTAATAACGAATTCACTTCTAGCAAATAAAAACGCGCTCACAATGCGGCAGTCCTGTCAGCACTGTCACAGATCACTGAGGTCAGCCGTATACGATGCTAACAAACCATACCAACCATGGTAGAATACGGATCGGCAAAGTCTAAAAGGATAATTTTTGATGATTTGCTACTGAAATCGCATCTTTGGTACTATCTTATCCAAGTATATACGAGTCAAAGTAGTGACGATAAGGATGAAAACAGGTTATACCTGCACTACCAAACGGATCGCATTGCCGTCCCGCCGAAACGGTAAATCGTGCATTATGTCGCGGACACTCACCGTCTGTGCCGGAAGTCGTCGTACTGAACAAAATGCCCATCCAATCAAGTGTACAGCTCGTAAAATTGGTATGAGTTTGTCATTATAACTACGCGTTCTGACAATTCTCGGTGAAATTCTTCGCTGGCCAAATACATTAGAAAAGCCGCGACCATGTTGATGTTATGCGTTTGTTCCTAACGTTCGTTGATAAGTTTGCAAGTGATTTAAATAATATAAAATATTGGTATATGAAAGCAAAAAAGACGGCACAGCTATTAAGTTCAAAACTTTCTGATTTGCCGATTGGTATGCGTCCTGTCCTTATATAGCCTGCGTCCTATATAGTTTGTTACTAGCAATACGAAGAGATCGCTTCAACGTTTGCGTAAGCATTTACTCTGCTTGAAATACTACGGGGTAGCAATATCATTTGTTAGCTAGCACCGCGTTGTATTTTCAACTCTTGTCTACAATGTATTGTTAAATTAACCGAAGCTATATCTGGTCCAACAAGAGCCTTTATTCCAACAAATTATTTACACATGAAGGAAAACGTTGAATCCAGCACTCATTATGCTTGTTAGTCATCCTATAACACCAATGAAGGCGCAATCCGCCGCACAACCATATCCCTTACGATAGAAGACAGTCCGGATGGACACTACCTTCTAAATCCGTGCGATGCGCAAAAGTTCCATTAGAGAATAACACATCTCAGGTAAAGGCAAATCAACGTGACACCTACTGATCTTCGGCAAAATTAAGGGAACGTTTATTTTTTCTGAATGTTTTTCTGTTCTGAACGTTTTCAAGCTCGTGGACAATATGCTAACTACAATTTACTGCGCTGGCGTTGCTTCCTGATCCGACAATCTTCCCTCCAGCCACCTCTTAAGAGCTGCATTTGCCTATTTATTATATCAAAAACACTCCGGTGTTCTGGTTACTTATTGCGTTATCTAACCTTTGATAAATACTGCAGAATACCTAGTCTCGTTTTCCCATTATGGATCAGAAAAACATGGCCCGCTCTCGTAGCCGCTTGGTTCAGTTCCTCTATTCACGCCCTTAGTTGGACCTGCTTTCGACAGTAGGTAATCAACCTATACTATAACGAATACTAATAGAAAAAAGACATTTAGTCAATAGCAGAATCGTGTCTGCCACCGGAAACACCATCATAGAAGGCGAAGCCTTTGTGGCATTCTCCATAGCGTTCTTTATTTTTCGACAAGTAAAGCCTTTACCGAAACGGTTGCATTTTCGCCTATCAGTCTGTAGATCAGCGCTTGTTGGCAGTTAGCCTTTACTATTATTATGATGGCTTACATTTGAGTGAGACTCAGGTAGCAAAGATATCATGATATTTTCCACGTAGCGTGGCCACTGCTCTTTCGCCAGGTTAAACCAGCAAAATGAGTCGAGGCAGGGGAACGGGGATAGGAGAATAGGGTTGAAAAGAACGCTAACGTTTTACTATTATTAATAATAGGATATTATCACCACATTTGCACGAGTATCAAGAACATTATCATCTGATATTTTTTTTAGCTATTTCTGTCTATCTGTGTGTGTTTGTGCACGTATTGATACGGTCGCTCATTGTTATCGTCTGGACGTCGTTTCCGTCATTTACCCGCATACACTCTTTATCGTAGGTAGCAATCTTTCTGCTCACTGAAAATCGCAATGTTGACAGCAGCTAGCAATGACTGTAACAAAAAGTGTGACCAAGAAAAACTGCGTTCCAAACCAACACAAGTTGCAATGTTTAAGTTGCTCATCTAATTGTCTACATTGTGTTATCCAATAATGTACCATAGGTAACTTGATATG